ATTGACTTATTGGATTTCCTGTTCTTTCTTTTTTACATATTTGTATGAATTTTACCAGGGAACCTACTTTCAGGTATCAGAATCTACCATACAGCCAAGAACATATATTGCATTTAAAGGGGTATTCCTTTTTTTTCTGGACTATTTCATTTTATTACTGACAACAGTATTTTATTGTATTCTTGCAACCTTTTTGCGTTTCTTTAGCCCTTTTCACTAATACCTGTCATGTGACCCTGAGTGCGTGGGCCATTTAAACGTGCGGGCCCTGATGCAGCCGCTCTGGGAGTAGATCCACTACTAATTAAAGCTCATAATAAAGGATGTGAGGCACCTACATTCTTTTTGGAAAATATAGGAATATTTTTTTGTTGTTTTTTTTTTTTTTAATAAATTGAAGTTTATTGGCATATTACAATATAATGCAGTAAACAATCCGCAAGAGACCACAATCATGGTTCAACAGAAAGATATAACATAAGACTGGTATTGCAAGACAAAGTCAACAAAAAGTAAAAAGCCCTACTACTAATAACAACAGTAACAGCAAGGGTCATTTCAGGCGATTAATCTTACACGTAAAGGGCCAATAAAGAAGAGTTGTGTCCCACTAGCATTGGCTCTAGGGCAGAGGGGTCTGTGGCATAACTCTACACCAAGGTTCCAAAATACTGGATATTATGGATTTCTGGGCTGAGCCAATTCGTAAGTATAGGTAGTACTTCATTTTTTCAAGTAATTGTGCTTTTGTGATTGGATATAAGGTACTTAGCTGCTAAGTATACATGGCATGCTAATACTTTTGTCATAAAAAGACAGCTGGGGGGGGGGGGGGAAATCAAACCAGAGATAGACTTCTGGCATATGTGGTAATGCCTAATCGGTTTAGCAATTATGCCATCTTTAACCATGGTGGCCATATTTCAGTACAGCTTCACCATACGTGAAGCATTGTTCCTTTTTTGATCATTACACCTCCAAAATCTTTATGAAATGCCTCTAGGTGTGTAATGCACTTGGTTACTCCCTGTCAGGCATCAAGTATTTGGGTCCAGCGAATTTGTGACAAGCCTACTACACGCTCCTTTTTCCATTGAGTCAGAAAGCGAAGAATATGATCTTCAGAGGTGTTCAAAGTAACTCTATAGCACAGTGATCACTTAGGTTTTAGCAGGGAATACTGACAAGATATAAAAAGCCTCTTTAAAGCGTCACTGTCATGGTCGCATCCGTTTTTGTTTTTTAACCCCCCCTCCATCAGGATTGTATT